TAAAGCAAGTGACAGATTAATTAATGACAATAATATACTAACTAGGATAAAATTAAACAAGATAAAGTTAAATAGAGTATTCTGTAGAATACGAAATATGTAGAACGTATCAATTAATGCTCAATGACTTACGAGATAATAAGGTAGGTGGTGCTAAGGTTGGGACAAGCAGGCAGGTTAGGATAGGGCTCACCCACAATATTACCTAGGAAATGATAAACTATTAGGGACTAATTAATAACCAATCGGGAATGACCTTAGTATTACGAACAATGTGAAACAATAATTTGGGAATAACATTGCAATGAACAACATCTAATGAATGGGTTACATAATAATAGAACAATACCTCGAGCAACAAACTTCCTAGCTTAGCTGGAATTTACGGAAGTGACGGGAACCAATTGCAATGTTCTGGTGACTTCTGGTGGGGATGAAAGGATAAGTATTTTAGTCGCATAATATACTAAGGCTTTTGGATCAATGAACTTAATTCTAACCTCACTAAATTAAAACGATCTTTAAGGATACAAACAATAAGGTCAATGATTAAAACAAGGGCTACCAACCTTCTTAATGGACTAGTGACATGGGAGAGAGAGACAGCACACTAAACCACCCCGGGCCGGAGTTGCTGAAGAAGAGCGATGGCAGAAGAAAAAGGCAGTGATAAACTTGTCTTCCATCCTTTTGTAGTCCTAGAGTGTTCCGTGGAAGGGGAGTTGTGGATGAGGCGGTATAGCGCGTTATCCAGGTAGCAACAAACAGGTTATTACAACAGGTTATTGATACAAATCCCGGTTTTTAAAGCTGGTTAAAATACCGTTCCACTAATTGACGAATTCAATAACTCTGTTAATCCAATAATTTCGTTATAAATAATTCTAATAACACTAAATGGCCTTTCTGACCAATGGCTGCAGTGCTCTGCAGATCTCTCCTATCAGATCTTAATCATATAAATGATCACTTAATTCATCTTAATCATATAAGTTAACACCTAATTCATCTTTATGAAACCTTATGTTACGAAGAATATTTGCAAATTTACATGGTTCATTTACCATTTTAATCCACATATTTAACACATGAATTACAAATGAACGGCATCACTTGGGACCAACTTGACTTCTCAGCTACTACCTACGTCCTTAACACCGTACAAAACGGTTTTACATAAACCCTAATCCCAACCCTAACCCTAACCATAACCCCGAAGCTGACCATAACCCTTACCACAACCCTAACTCTAACCCGGGCCCTAAACAATCGAATTTGTATTTTACTAGCATGTCACGTGACCAAAACGGTTTTTTGCCCATAACTCTCCAGGGAAGCATTTTAACCCTACGTCATGGGGGGTGATTCGGAATCAGCGTCCAAAAATACACCGATCTAGTTTACTTTCATGCCCAAAGGGCCTTTTCACAAGAATTTTCTTAAAATTTGGGCGAGCGATTTAGTAGGAGCGGGACAATACACCATATATAATATAATAGTGAAACGACCGTGGGGGTCACAACCAACAACGTAATAAAATAATAATATAAGTTGGTGTTCAACGACTAAAATTGAACGATTCATGCAAATATGATCATGAAGCTTGAATACAAGCTTGAATACATCGAGATCGTTGTTCTGCGAAGCAGAGCAACGATCGACGAAGCAAGAATGCTAGTTTGCGCGGCGCGTCGAATCGGTGAAGTCCTCCAAAAATGGACCATAAATGTTATTATAAGTTACATTACCTACTTCGGATTTCACGACTACCATTTTATTTAATCTAACAAATTATATATAAACTTGTAAAGAACCATTCCTTGACATGGCTTTTGTTTTTTATACTTTTAACTGCATATCATTACACAGGCGCAATAACGGTGTATGTCCAGTCATTTACAATTTAACTTTTAAAATTAATTGAATAATTGACAATATGGCAACTCCTTCATTTTGTCATGCTCCGTAGCGCCCCAAGAATGATGAATAAAGAACCATAATTTGATATTTTTACCGGCTCTTACTAATAAATTCGCTCGCCCAACAGAGGCACATATTAGGTGCGATGGGCCATGGGTGCGGGATCGCACAATTTACTGTTTTCCGCACATTTCCGCATAATTTATTGTTTTCCGCATACTTCCGCACATTTTGTAATTTTCTGAATATTTACGCATAATCTTGCATTTTCCGCTAAATTTCGCATAATTTTGAAATTTTCGCGTTAAGATTTTTGAGTGTAAAAACCAAAATATGTTAAAAGTCGGGCACTTTTAGGACCGAGACTCAGGCCCTTTTAGGACCGTGACTCAGGCCCTTTCGGGACCGTGACCCAGCTGCCCTTTTGGAACTCATACCTATAGGCCACGTGACCCAGTTACCACGTGACCCAGGCCCTTTCGGGACCCTGACCCAGGCCCTTTCGGGACCGTGACCCAGGCCCTTTTGGAACTCATGCCTAGGCCACGTGACCCGGTTACCACGTGACCCAGGCCCTTTCGGGACCATGACCCAGGCCCTTTCGGGACCGTTACCCAGGCCCTTTCGGGACCGTGACCCAAGCCCTTTCGGGACCGTGACCCAGGCCCTTTCGGGACCGTGACCCAGGCCGTTATGGAACCCTTGTCGTTACCGTACTTCGATCATACCTGCAGCCCTTTTTATCGGGTAATGAGCTCTATATATTCGTTGTAGCGTTGGCTTTATAGTGGGCTTTAATGGATCTTGGATCAAATGGTTTACAAGTACTGACGATCAAGCGTGTCACATATTTGCGATAACGCATGGGATCTGATCGAGTGATCGACTCTATCAAGAGGCGTCTTCAAATAACTGTCTCCTGATCTCTACCAGATCAAGTCATTGTTCTCAGATAACTGAATCTCAATATAGGTTCAATCATGGTCTTATGGTCTTATTAGTAAAGATCTACACCCTCAGTAATACATAAACAGACCTATTTTTGATAAGAGCGGCGGTTATACGTTTAGAATTTCCAAAGTCCTTCAGAAAATGCAAAAGAAAACCGCACAATTCCCGCACAAATTTCGAAAAAATCGTCGCAAATTTGCCGCATAATTGGTAAAAATTTACCGCACCTTACCGCACATTTTACCTTTATAGTCGGGTGCGGTACCGCATAATTTCTTTTATTTTTTACCGCACCTAATATGTGCCTCTGTCGCCCAAAAATTTCACGTGACTTTGGTTTTTAAAGGTTTTACAAAACCCAAATTCCACCAACGCCCACCAAGATCCGTATCTACAAGGATGCTGATATTACCATTCTGTTATATGGAGCTGAAGTCTGGAACACAACAAAGAAGCAAATGAAACGGTTTGAGGTCTTCCATCTGACCTCCCTGAGAAGAATCTTGAAAATAAAGTGGTTCTTCCCGTGTCTCCAATGAAAAAGTTCTCAGGCGTGCTGGAATTAAGTCTATCGAAACTTTCATCGGTGCGGCTTGTAGCGCGATGCGTTACTGTGCCGCGCCGCGCACTCAATGAGGCTTCTCACAGCGACATAATGGCTAGATCGGCGAGATGCGCTACTGTGCCGCGCCGAGCTGCCATGAATTATTGACATCGTCAATTAACGGTGCGGCTAGACTAAGGACAAGGTGGTACGGACATGTTGTCAGAATGCCAGAGACGCGGTTTCCTTATTTCTTACTGGATATGGATTGGAAACCAAACTATTGAAAGAGACTGAGAGGTCGACCCCGCAAAGGCTGGATGGCCTGTGTACTCGAGGATGCGGCTGAATTTACAGGTGTCGATAACATCAGCAGAGATGCAGTAAAACAGTTGTCTCTAAAAGTAAATAGCGAGTGGAATGGAGGAACCTGGAACATGTTACGCCGTAGAAGAGATGTGTGTGATGCAGGCCACTCCAACGACTAGGAGGAGACCTCTTCATGTAGCATGTAATTGTATGAAACGATCGTTAATTGTAATAATAAATTGTAAAAGACACGGAGATCCCTACGGTTGATGGAAATTTAGCGTCCGCTAACCGGCGCAATTCCAAAAAAATATTTTTTTAATTAAAATTTTTTTGCTAACATTGTTAAATTTGGTACCAAAAGCAAAAAGGTACAAAGTAATTGCCTCGTCATATGCAATATGTGTAAATTTAAACTATATATATAGTCACACGTTGACATTGTAGACACTAGCAACTAGATCTGCCGCGCACGATCTCCAATCTCACTAGCTGAGCTTAGCGTAAACAGCGTAAACACTGCTTCAATTTAGAGAATATTCACTGCAAGTGCAGAGACTTGTAATAAATACTGATGGCTGATGCCGGTGGGGCCAGGACATTTACATAATATACACTTACATGTCAATTGTCACATTACACATACATGACAGAGCTAGCTGTGGAGTGCATTTTCTAGGCCCGGTAATTGTAAACCGTAAAAGTTTCTGCGGGAGCCACTGCACTTCCCATTTGACTATTTTACTCCCTACAAATTAATTCAGAACGAAAATTACTTTTAGTTTTAACAACTTGCGCAACATATGCATTTATGCAACGCTAAAAATAAACTTATGCAGCACGTGACCCCCAAATCAAACTTTGCGCTTTGACGCGACGCGGACACGCACCGAAATAATGCGAATTTTATTTGGTTTTATTTTGGTTAAAAACGTAGGGGTGCACGTTGTAAATAGGTATTACTGTAGTATTACTATTACAACATTTGCAACCAATAAGTATAACAATACAAAATATGCACGTACCAGTATCATAAATATGAAATGATTTTGTAATTACTACTACAATTAACTCAATTTGTGATTGATAATGATATTACTATTACATATTTTGATAGTTGGGTGATCGTATATATAAGAAATAAAAATAAAAATTACGCTTATAAAGTATTGTATTATTTTTTTACCATCTCTAATTTTACCCCCATTGTTCGGATAAGTATAACTGATAACTACATGACTCATTGCTGTCTCTGGTTAAATGATAAGCTCTAAATTCATATAATTGTGCATACTGTACTGATGTTTCGAATATGGAACTTGGGTTTATCTTTTAGGTAGTTTTGTTTTAAGTTCTTATTGGCGTCTACTTTGCCATCCGCCACTAGTTCAGCCACTTTCTGCAGTGGATTTATCTGTCGTTGCATCGCTGGGTTGTTACCCAACTGGTTTAGAACTTCCGCACTTAGTTGAGCTCCTTCGTTCACCTAGAAGATTTTTATTAATGATACTCAAGTTTGAGAAAGAATTATTCCTTAACCAAAGAGAAAATGTATCAACATTTGTGATTTAATTCATATGCTCTGGAAACCATCTTGCTAGAAATTTGAATGGAATTTTTAGACAAATCTTTGAACCCTGCCATGCATGGCAAATTAAACCCTCGGAAAACTGAAAACTGTTTAAATTGCCGAAGTCATCATGTCTAGTTTATGTTAGTAGCTCATGATTCCGATGATCAATCCCACGTACCTGTTCCAGAACCTGGTTGACCTGTTTCTTCGCTTCCTCCTCCATCATCTCCGTCTGTGTGTAGGAGGGTAGGATGTTGTCCCCCTGACCGCACAGCCAATACGTGGGTAACTGGCCCTTGCCTTTGTGGGAATGCCAGCCTCGCTGACGGGTAATGTAGTTTCCTGCAGGGAGTTGTGCTTCTGTGAAAGTGCTACCGGGGGAGTGCTCGCTTTTGCCAAGCAGCTTGTTGCAAAAATGATACCGAAAGCAAGCTTCTTATATATATATTATATAGCTGTATAAACTTAGACTGTTATGGAAAAAGATTCGTTTCAGTACAAAAATACAAAATTATTTTCTATGAATTAATGAATTGCTTTCATGACAAACCGTATCGCTTGAGATGCTCGTTAGTTGAGTCACTGATGTGTATTTTAAGGGCCTCACTCGCGGTTTCCATTCTCGAGGCTGTGTTTACTGTGTCACCGAACAAACAATACCTTGGAACCTTCCAACCTACAACTCCTGGAGTAATAGAATGTGTTTATAGAAATGCCAACGCATAATATTCAGTATATTGTGTTGCTGTAGCTGGATTTAAAGATTGCTAACATTTTGTTGGTCACCGAGTTGACCCTTCTTCACGAATTTCATTGAAAAACATCCAGTCGAATACTGGAAAAATCCTAAGAGACTCCTGAATAATTAGTTTTTATACCTGCGACAACTGCTCCAGAGTGCATTCCTAGTTTGACTGTTAGGGGTTCTTTAAGGAAAGTTATCTTGACTTTCTGGATTGCCTGAACCATATCCATGGCAATGTCAGCAGCATGCTTGGCATGGTGCTCCGTGCGGTCCGGTAAGCCGCTTACTAACATGTACGCATCACCAATTGTTTCAACCTACAAATATTAATAGTTCAGTTTCATGGTTTGATATGTAGAAACACATTCAACCCTAGAACACAGTACTCTGTGTGTCCGGAATTTCGGCTCTGACGACCTCGAGCTTCAGTACCCCGGAGGTCAGTGAATCAAGCCCGATAACTTCTCGCCAAAATTAGAACTTCCAAGATAGTGTTAGGATCATGGCGATTGCAATATACTCTTTATTTGACGTTCCCAGTTGTTATTTACGACATTTTAATCTCTCGAAACAAATTCCCGCTATAAATATAGTTCCTCGAATATTTCACAGAGTGATTTATCATTACCTTGTAGACGTTAGGGTTGGCATCTGTGAGCGTGTCAAATGTCATGTACATCCTGTTCAGCAAGCCTGCCACCTTGGTTATTTGACGAGGTAAGTAGAGTATTAAGATTCTTTCAGAACACGGCAATTTAGGAAGATTCGAAGCGGATGAAAGCTTTGAACGACATTCGTGTTTCGACCATCTATTTTAGTCAACTTAGAAGTCTGATCATACGAGTAGCTCAAATCTTAAATCGTTATAAAATCATGATCACTGACAAAGTACCCAAATATGTCGGGTTGTTTGAGTTGAATAGGGCCTCAACTATAACATACAAGGTAAAAATATGCAAACCTGCATAGGAGAGAGACCACTGCAAATTTCAGTAAACCCGACCAGGTCACTAAAGAGAACTGTTGCTTCACTATACTCTTCACAGGTGTTAACAAACGGGGTCCCTTCCCTAATCTATCAAATATTTTTTAATTAAATTAAAGGTTCCAGTTAAAGGTTTTGAATTTCCGCTCATAAATATTTATATCAACATGAATAATGAATATGAAGAATCCTCGTGAAACTGTTTCTATATTGGTAAAAATGTCCTCCTCTTGCCGGAATCTGCTAAGTAGAATAAGATAAAAAATAACCGAACCTGCAGAGCAACATCTTTCGGCATGATCTGTTTAATGAGGCCCTCAGTTATTCTCATCTCGGTGTTAAGGACGGAGAGGTATTGGCTCTGGACCATGCTCTGTTCCCGCTCCTCGTCTAGCAGACGTCGGATCAAATGCAGCCTGGGGACATTACCTCATCACCAAGTGATTTGTAATCAATTAGGTCGAATGATAGATATTAAATTATGATTTCGATAGCAGGCCCAATCCAAAAACAACTGAGGTTGTTTAGATAAAGTGGTGCAAAAGTTTCACTTGACTAGATTGGTTTATTTGTGTCACGTGACTATCATGATACAGCTCTGAGCTCTCTGATTGGTTAAAATACTCCTACCTAAGTGAGGAGGAGACTAGTTGGTTTTTAGTATTGTCGTGAGCTTCCAGATCCCCTAGGAACACCGACTTGCATGCCGACATGGACTCCAAACGTGGGGAACAAAGGAAGATGGCATCACCAGTCTCTTCAAACACTAGTATCTGACCCTGAATACGAATTTGATTTTAGTTTTACTTACCTAAGGCATCTGATTAAATATCAGTTTAGAATGAAGCAACTAAGCTTAGATGAAACGCAATTACCGTGATTTTACATTATAAAAAATCAAGTGAGCACAACAAGATTACAGGAAGAACTCAACAAGAACTCAACAATAATACAACAAGAACACAACTACAAAACATCAACAACACAACAGGTCACCTGTAAGCGGAAGTGCAGATCAATCTCTGTCTCTTCGTTCTTCATTAGTTGAGTGACCCCCTCGCTTCCCTTACTACACAACTCAAACACCATGTGAGTATTACTCCGAATGTAGTTCCAAGTCATCGTACCATATCTGAAATCATGGCACTAATATTTATACTGAAATCAGTTGATACCCTGTAGCTTGTTGCTGGAAAAATACATGAATTAGTGCAAACAACTGTCATCTTTCGGGCATGGCGGATAGAAGGTGGAAAATGCACTTATTTAGGTATAACTTTATAGTTAAGATAAGAAGTCAAGAGCACCAATAGCTTCGTCTGCATGTACCTTGGTTTGCGCAGAGCAAAGTTTTTGTTGAGTTTGGAGCGGACCAATTTGGGCATGATCTGGTCCAAGGTGCTGCCCACAGAGTGGATTTCGTTAAACCTGGAGGGAGGTATCACACTTTGTTAGATTTTTATCAAATCGTTAATTCGTATTTCTTTTTTCTTAATTTCTGTAATTCTGATGATCTGGAACGAAATGATGATGTAATGGAATTGTGATGGTTCTTGCGAAGCCTACCTGTCAAAGTATATGAAGAAAGGGAACAGATTAAGAATACTAAGTGACGTCAGAGGCATTATCTCATCCATTTCCCTCTCAGAAGCATCCTCGTCGTCCGGGTTATCGTAGAACCGGGAATTGTCAAACTGGAGACGGAAGTTTGTCTGGAATATATACCCATCTATTTGCTGAGGTTCGGCTACGATCTGGATGTCATCTTCTGGAACTTGATAGAGGTTCTTCAAAATGAACTTGATTAATCCTGATCGGAGAGGAAAGCTGATCAAACAAAAATGTATGGCTTAAAGATATAAAATCTGTGAAATGTAATGAAAGCAAAAGAGCTCGTATGTTTAAATCTAACCCAGTCCAAAGAAGGCCATGTTAGGAGCCCAGCATCTCATAGCCAGGTCAAATCCTTGGTCGTCTTCCTGACTGACTGTGTAGGACTCGTACATCAGACCTGTATGATAAAATGCTACAGCCACTTCTCAAAAAAAGGGAATTATGTTAATAAATATACAGTCATACCCCGAATCCCGATTTACCGCATAGTTTGGGGGATAAGAAACATCCGCGTCCGCGGTAAATCTGGGTTTTGTTTGTTGACATTATACATATTTATACATGTTGATTGTTGAGCTTTATTTGGGGGAAAGAAGATGGCCGCGGTAAATCGGGGTTTGCGGTAAATCGTGGTTTTACTGTACAATGTTTTAAACAAAAGATATATAATAATATATTCTGTAAATGTGATAAATAAAATTTTTAACTCTTAAAACTAAATGTTTGAATGAACGACGAGTTGAAAAGTTGACCTGCATATTCGTATGACTTGTAGTCAAAGAAATCATTCCAGGAACGGAAAAAGTCTCCAGGGGTTCGACCGAGAAGCTGAAGATGACATTGATTAAAACTCAGGAGTTAGATAATAACTGTTTTGTTAAATTTCTAATCTGATTTTCACGAGAGAATATATCAAATCCAAAGACTTCTGGTTGCATATAATTTTGATCCGGGAAATCATCGAGCACTAATTAATAAAGCAATAACGTATGAATTTCTGAAATGTGTTCTGCAATGATAATTTGAGCGGGTAAAATTTAAAATTTAAAGACAAATTACTTTCATGTTCCATTCTTTAATAGTGACTTTGATGAACCATTCCCCAAACAGAGCAACCACTTCATTCACATCTTTTTTTACATGCTTACTGACTCCTGAGTAGAAAATAACATCATTCACAAAAAATACAGATATCTCACGGAATGGCTGATATCCTTGGTTAGTGACATCAATATTGCAGACGGTTAGCAATACCCTGCATAAAATACGATCGTATGGCCATTTTATGGCCCTGCATAGTGCATACCCACCAATATTAATTTTAAAGTTCCCAATATCTCACCAACAGCAAGCTCTAGAAAAAGTTGGTCTTCATAGTCGATGTAATCGTCATAGTCCTCAGGAACTGACGCCCCTGTGCAGATGATGTACCATGACCTCTTCTCAAAGTCGCTGTAGAACCCTAACTTGATGGCGTTGAAGATGAACCCATACATTTTGGAAGACTAGTGTTTCCTGGGATTGTTTGTTGTCTATTAAGGAAATATCATAACTATAAATTCTCAAGAAGACCTTCTCAATCATGAAATCAGATCATATTTACCAAATAAGTTAACACCACAGAACCACTCATACAAATTACAAATGAAGCACACAACTAGATCCCCACGGTGACAACGGATAAGCTGCCAGAAACTTGGTCCAAACCCAAAGCTCTACATCAACTGAGAGGAGACTAACCTGACAAACTTGACACAACCTTGAAAGTACGGTCTGCGAGCTGCGGCAAGTTATTTACATTACCGAGCTTCTAAAAGCATTTCTCTCACGTGATACCTCCACCCGTCTAGCAGAAGATGACATGTTAGCTACATTAGACTTGACATATGTCCCCACTTTGCTAATGCTATATCACAGACCATTTGCTCAAATATAGAGATATTTCGGCCGATAATATCGTCAAAGACAGTGGTATCTTTGGAATATGGCACGTCACCAGGGTGCACCTCGTAAATAGACTAGAAAGCTAGTTATATAACTGCGTGTATGCAAAAACTTTGGAGGGAGAAAGGTGGTTTTTATTAACCAAAGCTGACAAGTCTTTGTCAAGAATCTACAGCAATCTAAAAATCAACTCTCCAGGTGTATGAATTGACAATTACATTATAGTAATCGGCACTATTTTGGTGATAGTTTACATGGTTGAAAATAGAGAGGCTGTAAGGAAATAAACATATTTGATTTATTTTAGCAAATATAATGATCGCTTAAAATAAAAGCACCATTCGTATTTATATCATATCTCTAATCTCTATCCGTCCAAATTGTACGTGTTACGGAAAATATATTGTCCAAACGGCCTAATCGTATTATACCGTCCTGTATTCACGGTAAAAGGTAACAGTTGAAGCTAAGTGGCTAAGTGGCCACAAAATGGCTATAAATAAAATATTTGACAATAACCCACCCGTTATTCATACTTTTGCTTATCTGCAAAATTGCCGTCTTTTTACCTGAAGGACTTTTTGTTATTTATTGGAACAAAACAAAAAAACGAGAATTACGATTAATTGATCAGAAAGGATTTTCTTCGCTGTATGCTGATGACCTGGTAATAATTGGTACACGGTCGAAGAGTCGCCAGCGGAGGATAACGATCTCCTAGCTTTAAGTGAAGTTATCGCCTGATCTATTAACTAACCTCAGACCTTTAACTTAGTTTATTGTTTATGACAATCGTTTTTTCTTGGGTCACCTATATAATGTAAAACCGATTGAAAATGCTCCAGGATCCAGGAGAGACAGCCAGGATAAAAACACACCCGGACTTTTTACTGCGGGGTTGGTTATTGGCCTGATTGCTATTTAGTGACAGCACTATATTAATATTGTGACAAGGTTGATTTAATGACAAGGCATATTTAGTGCTGGCTGAGAACGAATGAGGTAGCCATTCTATTATGTTCTGCCGCTTTAATTATAGTATTTGAAGGTTGATTGTACGTATTAGTAACGTATTACTGTATTAGTAACGTAGATGGTTAATGGTTATATGTAGTTCTGGTAACATATTATCGATATGATAGCTTGTTACTTTCTGCATTTGGTACGTTCTGCGTTTGTTATAATATTTTACCCCCTGCATTTCACCTAGTCTTACCATTTTGAATAAGATTTGAGAGATAAGGATCTGTAAAACGGTTCTCACTGACCCGTAAGACCCTCTACTAAGGAGAAGTCCTGCCAGTCCGATTCGGCTTGTTACCAGGTTGATCTTAACCGTTTTCGTTGGACAAGAAATACTAAATAGCTCTCTTAACTCCTTAACTTAGGTTAACCAGCATTTCAGGGACTCCGAATTTTTGGGATACATCTCAATATGACGTCATGCATGCTGAGATTAGGGAATAAACTGCGCAGTAAACAGCTGTTATGGACAAGTCCTCGCTCTGTAATCTCTGGCGAGGCTTGTTACAAGGATTCTTGATTAAACCCTACGTCAGCTCTTCAATTAAGACGCAGTGTTTCGGTGATAAATGTTTTATAATCGATGTTTATACTGATAACACGGGTTAACTGCTCGTTAAGATAAGGCATAATAGATAACACGGCAATACGGTGGTTGCAACTGTGGAGAAGTTTTCTTTTAACCAGCATTCATGGTGCCGAACAGAAAATATCTCCTCTTATGAGCTCGTACCGGCAGTTCCGAACTTCTCATTCAAATGTGTTCCGTCCCTGTGCAATTTAGACTTTAGAGCCTTATATAGTGATATCATTTTGAGATTTTGGTACTAGGTACATTTTGGTACTAGGTATTTCGCTTCAAGGATTTGCAACCTTATTTTCAGATTTCTCTTTCTGAGGCACATTTTTTATTGTCTCACCTCGTGACCCAGCACGGCGTATCCCTTGATTCATTTTGAAATTAGCATGTGCCAGGTGCCCAGCTCGAAAGCCCCTGCACATATCCGCGGAGACAGTAGACACCCTCGTGGACGTAGATTCGCTTCGAGTCAAGATAGCATCATATCACCTTTGGTTGGGTTGATATCCATTGTTAAAAATACATATCATGGAGTTATGGTACATACAACTATTAGGAGGTCCTCTCTGGGGACCCGGCGAAAGGGCTCCTTAATTATTTTGAGTTCAGGTACCAGACACCAGTGAATACACAATCAAAAGAGTAAAAGGTAGGGTCGGAGTAAGGAGAGACCTGACTGGGTTAAGGGTTAATTTAAGGTGTGACGCTATGTAAAAACTAAAACAGTAAACTTACAGTTTCGAAATTGGTACTGGGATCGAAAAACGCCAAGAGAGTTGAAACGTGGCAAAAGTGATGAGATAACGAGAAGTGAAATGTTGTACTAATTTCTGTGCATGCTTCATCATCCTGGGAAAGTGATTCGTAACTGATCCCCAGAATTCTCCCATAGAACAGTCTAGAATAGCGCCCACGTGCCCCGTGGGAGGGCGCGCTTCTTATATCATTTCTATGTTTGTTCACTCTCATACCTGTCTCCGAATATGAATATCGTTTGCTAATTCCTTTGTCAATTTGTGTGTCAGGCTGTGAATTCCGACTAATTCTACGATTTCCTATATATTTCCTATATAATACTTTTATCTTGTTATAGTTATAACGTTTGTTTCATACCTATAAGTATAACTGCTCTGTTTTCGCTGTATACCGCTCCTAGCCAATATCAAAGTTAACAGATTATTACTAAATTATTAACCGATTATGAAAGTTTATACAGTAATTTGCGACTTCAACTACTGGAGTTATAACGTACTGTCTATATTTAACACTTTGAACCATTATTTTGCTTGTGCTCGTTCTCAGCCAATACGATACAGTATACGCTACCAATTATTCTGCATACTGCAGTGATCGATAGTGGGTAACAAAGGGAGTACCATCAGAGGGGACGCTTTTTCCCCCGAATTTTAGGTCTTTTTTACGAATATAATCGTACGATTTGTACCATATATCCTAGTTAACTGAACGTTTGGTCGACGCAAAAGAAATATTTGGTATTTTTGGTTCAACGATACGTCACTGGTGAGATATCAAAGTTCTATACATTATTTCTTTTGTTTGACTATAGGCTCAGCTGTTTAATGATTCTTTCAGCCAAGTTAAGCTCTCTCAATCTGATTGTCTTGAGTCTTCACTGTATAATACGCTGTTTTTTTTGTGAAAACGGTCGGTCGACGCGAAAAAAATATTTGAGATTTTTGTAGGGGCGCCAAAAAATTTCACGCCACTATAAAATAATGAGATATCAAAGTTCTGGAATCTGGATCCTTTCTTTTGTTTAACTCTAGGCTCAGTCGTTTAACGATTCTTTCAGGCCGTAGGTTAAGCTCTCTCAATCTGATTGTCTTGCGTCTTCACTGTATAAGGTACGTTGTTTTTATGTGGACAACGACACTCTGCTACGTAATATATACATGCCTGTATTCACGTTTCAAAAACCTCTGTTTACATTTAGATTCTCTGCTTACGACATATTACATAACTGCAAGACAATTGGCTAGTTGTTACAACGAAACTTCAATCTCTGTACGACCAATATCCGTTGAGCTCTAAACAAGCTGAAATTCAACTGAAACAACCAAGTTGGTCCTACATCAGATAAACTCTATTGGTCAATTGAGATTATATTGTATATTCTACAGTGTATAACTCGAGTATAAACGACCGTAGAAACACGATCCTAATTTAACGAGACACCAATTTTGGAGATTACAGCTCCTTTGAAAAGCTATCTGGCTTATTTCGTCTGCAGGACAATAGCTATCTGGCTTATTTCACCTTAATTTCTCAGTTCAGTAGTAGAGTAGTCACGCACGCTTATATTTCTTATAATTCGTCCTCATTTCTTATTACATGCTGTGCTCCACAGCAATTATATTGGAACATTATCACAAAATCATTTCTCGAGAATATCATCATGCAGGTTTCATAAGGTTTGAGGTTCGTGTAGTTGGTATTAAGAACTTAACCTGGGCTAAATGTCCCTGTTATATACGCATTAACAATGCCACACAGTTTCACTCCATATCCTTTGTTTCGGTTCAAGTCTTTGTTCCTGGATCGCTTATATTTTAAACCGTTCCAATGTCTCGTGAACACCCTGTTATACTTACAGACCTCTAGAAGTTGCCTGTTGACCCCCCCCCCCCTCGGCTCCCTCTTTATAGCACTGCCACTAGCAGCTGCTCTCTCCACGGACAAGTGCTCAGGGGTAGTAAACAAGACTTATGATCTATTGCATTATATATCAGAGGAGAAATATGGTCCAATGTCTGTACCTTAGGCACCCGTGTGTCCTGGATGATATGGTAGACGATTTGTTAATAAACCTTGTGGTCTGTAGTTGATAGCTATTAGAGTATGAGAACGTGAACTGCACGGGGTCTTGTAAACGTCGTTAGACTTGCACTGTAAGACATCTGTACGTGCAGATAGGGAATGAAGCCTTTT